AGGAGGATTCCAGCCACCTCCCTCATTAGGCCTTGTCTTTGCTACTTTCTGCTCACAAGCACAGAGATTCTATGTTGGTGTGTGCAGCCTGCACACACAATACAGTCTCCTGATCTTGGGTCTACATGGGCAGCATATTCTTGTATCCATCACCCCAATGGCTGAAGACCATGGTGAAACCTTCATGCCTACCCCGATTTGACCTTTGACTTGCAGAGGTATGTCCAGCATCCTATTGTCTTCTCTACCTGACTATCCATTGAGGACCTCAAGAGTAGCTGGTCCCAGTGTATACTTGCTTGTTTCCTGCTTAAGCGAGCGGCTCTGCGCTCTACAGAACAACTGGTACCTTTTAGTTCTGCATCTCAGAATCTAGCTCATCTTCCCCTCTGTATCCCCATGTCCCTCAGTCTCATCTCCAGCCTACTTCACCTTTAAATACCTCTTGGCAACTGGTCTGGCTCTCCCTTCCAGCAGAAACTGGTAATTTAGCCAGACCCTGGTAATTTTTTCCTACTTCAAATGTTTCCCAGCTGGGAACATCAAAGAATGTCACTCTGTGATGGCCTGAGAAGTGGGCCTGTCCACTTTAGAAACGTAGACTTGCTTCTAACTTGTATATCTAACAAATACCAAAATTGAATAAATGAACAAGTGCATTATTTCTAAGGTTCTCTTGCTCAGTTCTATTTTAAAAGGGAATGAATAACGCTAGGTTGGCGGTGTGTCAGTGCAGTCCTTGCGCTCAGGTGCCGAGGCTGTACTAAGCTACAAAAGTTCAATAAAAAAAGTTTTGGAAGGGTGGTAATAATACCAAATACACGTATTTTACTTTGAGATTTTCTAAATCACCTCCCATGCATGTGTGAGTTCATGTAGATATGTGCATGTATGGGTCTGTGTGGAGGTCAGAGATCAATCTTGGGTGTTCTTCTTTCTGGGACATTCACCTTATTGTTTAAGACAGGGTCTCTCGCAGGGACTTGGTTTTCAGTGATTAGGCTGGTGTCTGGCCATTGAGTCCCGAGGACCTCTCTGTCCCCACCTCCTCACACTAGAACTGCAGGCGCTTGCCACCATGCCTGGCTTTATATGTGGGTTCTGGGGATCATGTTCATGTCATACTCATGTCACGTGATCCTTGGAAGCCTAGACAGGGCCCTCCTGTGTTACTTGCCCATCTCCATGTGAGGACAGACAAGCTTGCCTAAGGCCACTTGTTTCTCAGCCTCATTTCGACTTTGGCCTTCTGTTTTTCCTCTCTTTTATTTACCAAAAACAAACAAACAACAAGCCATTCAAAACTAAAATCAAAACCCAAACATCCACGCTCCCAAAGCATTTGAAGCTCATCTTTATCTTTCCCTGAACACTAGGAATCTATCAGGTAATACTTCATACACGCCTTGGGTTCCCACTACGGAGATCAGTATTAAAAAAGTGACAGCGACTTATTATTTATGGCGGTCTCTATTGTTACAAAAGGAGACAGACCAAACGATCCCCATTGTGACAGATGCTACTTTGACTTGACAGCTGGGAAAGTCTGATAGGCAGTTTATTTACTTAGCCATTTAACCAAATAAATGTTTTCATTTTTCTTTCATCCCTTCAAAGGCTTACATTTTGCCCTTAAAATTGCTCCAGCAACACATCACTGAAGTACAAATTACCTGCCATCCCCACACCAGCCATTATAATATTATTTTGGTTTTCTCTCTCTCTCTCTCTCTCTCTCTTTTCCCTCCCCTCCCCCTTTCTCTTTTTGCCCCTCTTGACTCGGTCTTTCAAAGATATGTGATTCTCCCAGATGGAAAAGTAAGAGGGAGAAAGTGAAATAATTGAAAGATATTTTTCTTTATTGCTAAAACAGAAATGTTTGGTACTGGCCCGGAAGTTTCCACCTGTGGGGATTGAGTCTGTGTGTTTCCTCTTATTCTAGAGCGATATGGCTTTAACTTTATCAACACTTGTCATCCTTGCTTACTCTGAACTGGGTGGCTATTTCTAATAAAAAAGCAGCTGGAGATTGTGGCTGCAGGAGTGATAAGAGGGATAGGGACTTTGCTTTCCAGCTGCATGACAGCAGAGGGGGAAATAAAGCCAGGGACACAACTATCTCTGCATAATCCCTTTTCCAAGTGTCTGCAAAAGCACTAAGAAATTACAGTCAGTAAATTTCCAGTTGGTTATGAGTAAAGGGGCTGGGGCTTGTGTTATTTTGACACTGATGGAGGGATACAAAGAAAGAGTCACGCGGGTTTCCCCATGAGTGACAGAGGGGACCTGTCTGCAAGGTGGGCATTAACCCCACTGCACAGCTTCTGACAGGGAACGGTAAAACGGCCAGGCTGAACTTACATGACATCATAAAGTATAATCTAGCTCCTCAAAGCTGAGAGGATCTTAATAGGATTTCCATAGGAACCCAAGATTGCTTTTTTCAGGGGAGGGTAGGGAGAGGTGGCCTATGGGGCTCAAACAGAAGTTATTCTGATTATGGGACACTAGAAAGGCCTCACCTCCCTCCCTCCCTCTGCTTTAATCCATTACGGGACATGCAGAAAGTTATCTAAAAACAGAAAGTATCAAGCAAAACTCCCTAGATATGGGCTTCATTCCACATGGGGCTAAATGCATAAAATCTAAGACTATAGAGCACCAACACATATTGAATTCATACCACATTGATTCTGGTGATACAGGTGGTGATAGGGGCAATAGTGATGGCCATGGTTGGGACGCTGATGGGAATGCTGAGGAGGGTGGCAGTGAAGGGGTGTTGGAGGTGAAAAGAGTGGTCCTAATGGTGGAATGATTGTAGCGATGGCAGTGGTGCTGATGTTGATATGTACTGCTAGTGATACGGTGATGGATAAGCTAGCAGTAATGGTGGTAATGATTCTATTAGTGATGGTGGTGATGGTGGAGGTGGTGGTGACAGTGAGGAGGTGGCAGGGGTGCTAGTGATGGCTAGGGTGGCAGAGGTGGTAATGATGGTTGCTTTCAGACAATCTATTGCTAGACACTTGATTGAGAACTCCATGTACATCACCTCATGACTTCACCCAAATGTCCTATAAGATGGGTATTACTTTTATCCCTATTTTTCAGATGAAAAGAGAGGCCGTGAATCCTGATCAAGATGACACAGATAAGAAGGAAGAATCCAGGTTCTGAACTCTGACAATATTAATCCCCAAAGAGGACTAAATTTCAGGCTGAATTCGCATGGTCTGACTTTATGCCACAGATTGGACTTATGGCATATTAGTTAATATCAAGGGTAATATAACCCTCTGCTAGTGGACGAAACATAATCAGAAATGAAAGAGTGTCTCTAGCCCAAGATTTTCCACTTTTCTGTGGCTAAGATTTGAACTCAAGTTCCAAATCCTGAGCTCTTGCCACGGCACCATGCGATGACGACAACCCAGCCACGGACGGAGCCAGATGGAACATCAAAGGAGGCACGAACCAAGGCCTTGTGGGAAACAGTCGAGCTTGTGTAAGTGCTTCAAGCCAAACAAGCTCGTGAAGATGAGTGCTTGAGATGTTGACCTGCCAAGGGTGTAAGTCCAAATACGTCAGTTCTAGGACAGTGTTTGCCACCATCGTGATGAATGGATCTCACCACCACTGGTTCACTGATCAAATTTTCTAAAGCAACGTTGAGCTTATGACAAAGCAACTTTGAGCATATGAAGACTCCAAAACCTCCTTGGAATCACCTTAAGGAATCTTCTTATAATCCCTAACATTTCTCATTCCTAAAGCATTGACTTTGCCTTCCAGAGATCAATTCCCATTGTGATTGTGAAAGACTGGCTTTTTTAGACGGGTATTTGGGTTTTGTACGTTATGGCATATTGTTACATTTTTCTGATATAAAATGGACAACACATATAGTGTGCTAGATTCTCTAATCATAAAAAAAACTATTAACAAAGTAGACTTTCAAAACCCTGGATTAGCTTTCAATGACTGTCCGCAGGACCGGTGTGTGCACTAGGTATGCACTAGGTGTGCACCATGGATAACTCTGCCGTGGCCACAGAACCTAGTCCCGCGCAGTGGGAGCCACTCACCATGAGAGTGGCCATGCTGCTGATGCTCAGGGCAAAAGGAATCTTTGAGTTTGGCTCTGTGGTCCTCCATGTTTGTGGAAAACCAAGAAGATGTCTGAAAGTTTGACACGTTCATCCAAGCTGGCCTTAGAAATGATGTCTAAGGAACAAGGTATGCTTTTGTCTCCTGAGAAGGTTAGCTTCATCGGGTCTTCTTTATTTTGATCGAATCAGAGGTACTGAAGGTTGAGTTCCAAAAGGCACTTCTAGGGGAATGCAAGGATGCCTCTCTCCAATTAGCTGCTGCCGAATGTGCAGTGGTTTGGCGGTAAAGCACAGGCTGCAGCAGAGTCTCCAGAGTGACAACTCCATGTCTTTGGGCCTCTAATTTCACTGACACACTGGAAGGGGGTACAGAGCCCCTCTCGGCTAGATGGGAAGGGCTACTATGACTGCACATCTTGATCAATCTTATTTCAAGCATGGCTTGTTTTTGTTGCACAGTCTGGCTTCTCGGTGCGTTTGATTAGTGACCTCTTTAGAGCCGTGGCATGTAGGGAAATGCAGTGACATTTCGCTCAAAAGAGTAAGGCGTCTGGGGCGCCTCTCACTGAGAAATTGTCGTGTGTATTTGTGTGTGTGTGTGTGTGTGTGTGTGTGTGTGTGTGTGAGAGAGAGAGAGAGAGAGAGAGAGAGAGAGAGAGAATGAATGATGTGCCCATCCCAGAGGGCCAATGTTTTTAGAAACTCAGTGCACATTAGGTAGTGTTGACTGGGTCTCTCATTCTATCACCATCACCAACTTAGAATGCATCATTAATTAAACAATAAAACTATTTGCCACATTCCCTCCAACCCTACCTTTGGGTGTATGTCAAAGGTCATTCATCCACGTAAAAAAAGCAAAGTGCAAAGTTGAAATGAGGCAAAGGGAGGATCGTTCAAACACTGGTAACTGGTGAGATGGCTCAGGCAAGGGTTGAGGGGATAAATACTGGCAATATATTAACAGGCACGATAAACAACGCAGGCAGTAGGAAAAGGCACAGATGACGGGAGATGGTATGGACACGATAATACAGCACAGGCAAGCAGACAAAGCACAGACACTGGAATATGACGTCAGCGGTACACAGCAAGCAAGAGGGAAAACCTTGCAGGTGAAGGAGATTAAAAAGTACGGATACCTACCCAGACCTGCGCTATCTAGCTACCGTCTTGTGGACTTATATTATCGCCACTGGGATCACCACTGGGCTCCCCAAATGGATCACTGGTGGAGGATGCCTGTGATCCATCAGGCTAGAACACAAGAAGATAACACTTTTTTTTTTCCTCTCTCTTCAACAAGTGAAAACACAAGGCAACTAAGATTATATTCACGCGGCGCAGGCAACCAGTTAATTTAAAGGAGGGCTGAAACTTCCGCCGGAGGATGCCACCTCCCAGATGCGAGAGCTCCTAATGACTTAACAAAAGGTCAGTGTTTCTGGCTGAGATGCATCTGGGCATACAGCAAAGTCCTTTGGGAGGCCGTTTGGACACCAGCTCTGAGCTTGCATTCTCTTTTATGTTGGCATCCTCATATACTATGGGGAAAATTTAATTTTAAAGGAAAGTAGGGAAATCAGTGGGTCACTTACAGCCTCTTGTTCTTCACTCTTGCTGGGACTTTCAAAGCCTTCTTCAAAGATGTCATCTGCGGCCGGATCACTGGCGTGGGACGCTGATGATTTCGAGGGAGAGCTCTGCCTAGGGGCTGGGGTTGGAGCTATACCAAAAGAGGAAACGTGGTAAATAGAAATACAAGCCACAACCGTTTACCTTCCTCAGACACACCTGGGGTCCCCTGACATTTGAGTCAAGTCTGCCCTCTCCCCATCTGAGGCCAAATCTATGCAAATAAATTCCTCCCATGTTTATTCGGGGATGCCAGCCCTTGGAACCTACGGGACAGTGAACCGGGGACTCTGAACAACTCCTATAGTGCTTCTGACACACAAGCAAACTGCAAGCTGCTGGGCCAGGTTGATTTTCTTCTCTCTCTTTTATCAAAGGACACATTTTTAAAATGACTTTCATAGATCAGTCACTTTTAGAAAATTTAAGAGCAATAGTCCTCAAAACTTGGGAAGCTCCTTTGAGATAGAGGTTACTTATGTTCTCCAGAGAACTGGAGATTGCTAATGTCTTCACAGCAACTGCTAAGGCAGGCTTCCGATTCTTGCATACACTCAGTAAGCACAGGCTAGGCTGGGAGAGCCATGGTAGGTGACGGCAAGCTTGTGGAGAATATGCACCTGCTGCCATGTCCTTCCTGAGTCTTCTTCCTCCTCTTATTTTTTTCCAGAGGTTTCTACCACAGATGATGTTGGAAGCTTTTCTTTTAACTTAGCATAGAAAACTCTGCCCACTGGCTCAGTCCCCAGGTATGGGTGGACTGAACAGGTGAGTAGCGCTTCCCGACCCACTGTTCCAGAGCTTAGCAAAAAAAAAAAAAAAAAAAAAAAAAAAAAAAAAAAAAAAAAANAAAAAAAAAAAAAAAAAAAAAAAAAAAAAAAAAAAAAAAAAAAAAAAAAACCTCATATCTTATCAGAACGTGAATGACTGCAAAAGTTACTTTTGATCTTTTATCCTGTGGGCACTATTTCCGTCTCCCTCATCATTCACAGTATGCCAACGAGGCTAACCCCGACCAAGCTCTTTTCCTTCCTCGTGCTCCTGATACAACTACGTGCAGTAATGTACACTTCCTTCAGGTGTTCAGAGCCAGGGCCCGGAGAGGCACGGGCAAGCACTCACATTTACAGAGGTGTGCGTATGAACTATGGGATGGCACAGATGCATCCGGCACTACTCAGTCCTTCCTATTTGAGGGGTTTTGCTTTTAGTGTTTTGTTTTGGAACGGTTAATTTCTTGCTCATATCTTGAAGGGATGCGGATAGAGAAGAAGGTACAAAAATTGACTTTACATATTTTATTTAAGACAAAACATTACATAGATCTTGTTTCGTGAGCTGGTTTCAGAGCAAACTAGCTACACTAGGTTTAACGCTGCATAAGGCTGCCTTGCTGAGCGGGCAATATTAAATAATTGGGTTCCAAATTGTGTCTAAGGTGGTATATTGCTTACAAAAGGCAGGGGATCCAGGCTGAGCCATCCGTCCTAACAGTCTACTGATCATAGTTCCCCAGTGGGACCACCAGGAAGGCAGCTAGAGTTTATTTGCACAAGCTTCTCAGTTCTCACAAGGCTTTACGGAGCACTTCAGTATTTCATAGTCATGTTATCTCAAGGTGGGTGGTCATTTTGCCCCTCGCTCAGGGGACAATGACGATGTCTGTGGTTATTATAGGTTATGAAAAGAAGAAGAAGAACTGGAGGAAGATGCTGTTTGCATCTGGTGGGTAGGAGCTAGAGGACTGTGAAGTAAGTACTGCACACTACATGCAACAGCTTCCTGTGACAATCATCTGTCCCCAAATATCAACACTGATACATTGGCAGAGCCTTCCTCTCAAACACAGTGATGGCGGGCTGGCCTTTTGGACATCTTTCATTCCCTGCAACCTTTCCTAACGTCTGGATGTGCCAGGCACCCCACTAACATGCTGAGAAGTATGGTGTGGGGATGAAGGCAAGACAGTCCCTGTCCTCAAAGAACTTCCTTGTTTGTAGGCAGCCCATGGGGTTCATTGAGAAAGGAGACATGTGCTTTTAAAAGACTCTTGTTCACTTATGCATGACTGTTATTTCTTTAGCATTTCATTTTTTATTCATTATTCCTCATTGAAACCCCACGGATTAGACTTAATAGGAACGCCTTGACTATGTAGCACCCACGGCCTGAGTGCGAGGCCTTCATTTTCAGAACAGCATTCTGAACCTGGCTGAATGACACAATCTAATTGTATTCACATTAGATTTTTTTTTTTGACAATTCATGGTATTGGCCATCCAGTGATCCGTATCACCGGTGACAGTAATGAAAACGCCAAAATCATTGTACCATGAGCCTTTTCTTTTCCCTTATCAATTGTCAAGGCCCAGGCTGAGTCACGGGAACACTTTTTCCCGATTGTCTGACAAGCCCTCGTGTGCTCAAGTGTATCTGGATTCCGATTCGTCAACAGGCTTTCTATTTTTGGTGTTTGTAATAGGAAAAATAAGTGGAAGCAGAGGCCCCACATGCTCAGGCCAGAAGGAAGGTGCTGCTCCCTAAAGGGTTCCAGAGACTCAGAGCTATGATTTGCTCTGTCCTAAGACACAGCTTGTCCCGCTGGAGCCTGCACTAGAAACCTGGCCCAGGAGCCTGCAACAGTCCCCTGACCAGGATCACCATGATGGAAATCCTTTCATGTTGCAATGCCTTTAAATGGCTGGCTGTAGAGCATTAAGAACCACAGGGCCCATGGAGGTAAAACTATTACTCCAAAGCACATAGTCAATAGGAATAAAGAGCCCTCCATGTTCCCAGCTGGGGCTGTCTGTCCACGCTCATCTCATTCAACTTGGTGTCAATCATCAGGCCCCAAGATGACCTCCCGGTTATAAACTCTGCCTTACAACTCCCTTGATCTTAATTTCCTTTCTAATTAGTAAGCCTTGTTTTTAGATTTAATTAATTAATTAGTTAATTAATTAATGAAGTGTGTGTATGCTCGTGTGTATGTAGATCAGAAAATAACTTTTGGGACTCAGACCTCCCCTTCTACCAGGAGTTCTGGACACTGAACTCAGGTCTTCGCCTTCAGGTTTCGTGGCAAACACCCGCCCTTTCTGAGATCTTTCTAGCCCCTTGATTCTACTTTTAAAACATTACACTTATTTTCAATTTAATGAGCCATGCTAAAATTTGTTTGCCATAGGCTAATACATACACGAATCACAAATGAGCCTATCAACGAAACCTTAAGAAGCACAGTGATGTTGTGGACAAATGCCAGGCATGTATTCATATTGTCATTATCTGTCACGTAGATCTGGGGCAACTTGGTCTCAGTGTTATGTAGAAAGAGGGCTAGAGAATGAGGTGTGTGCGTGTGTGTGTGTGTGTGTGTGTGTTCTGTAACTGGTAGCTGAGTTGGTGGCCATGGGGACTGTTAACAGTGGTACTAACAAGCTTGAGATGCAAGTGAGATAGATTCTGACCCTACTAGCTTAGTTACCAGGAAAAGGGCGTTACACCCATCAGGTTTTAGAGCCCAACGAAAGGACACTCACGTGAGTTGGTGGACGGCGTGGTGGAAGTCACAGGGGTCAAATTCAGTTGGGAGATGTCAAAGTCATCACAGTCGTCTGTGTCTTGTGCCACCCCGACTTTGTTGAAGTAACTGGAGAAGGCCTCTGAGGTACAGGTCAGGGAGGGCTGGTCAGGCTTCCGGGAGGGCACGGGTGGAGGCTGGACCATCTGGAAATCCTTAAACATTTCCTTCCCCATTTTCTGCCTGGGCTTGTCACTCTGTGGACTTGACCTGGCAGAGTCATTCGTGCCTGGGACCGTTGCAAGGGGGGCGAGGGGACCTTGGAACATGGCAGCTGGTAAAGGCATAACAGTTTGTGTGGGCATGAAGGCGGCTGGCGGGAACTGCCCGGCCACAGTCGGCCAGGGTTGCTGGGTGGTAGGAAAGAGGCCTGGCTGGCCCCACGCGATGGGTTGAGCTCCTGGCATCACCTGAGCAACGGGCGGCTGAGCACCCATGGCAATCTGCTGTTGAACGAGGGGCTGCTGGCCCCAGAAGGATGGGAGGACGGCGCCCATAGCGACATAACCTGCAACGGGAGGGAGGGAGGGTCAGGCATCCTGGACAAGAAAAGTCTATGGAGCGGAGTGACTGACAGCTATGTACTGCCCATTTACAGCGAGGAAGAGGTCTGACTTTTCACCTCAGCCTCTGAATGGTTCTAGCATTCCAGTTTCACGCTTCCCGCTGCCTTCCACCTGGGAAACTTAATGACAGTTCGCTTCAGCCACTGAAACTCTTCTCAGCTGGCTGACCAAGCCGAGGCAAAGTGAAGAAGACACGGGCAAGGCTGCCTTCCACTGAGACACTCCTGCTCTTGAACTATGAACTCTGGGAAAGTACAGCAATGGTAAGAATGCTATTATTCCCCAACCCAAGCTGTGTTTCCCTCCCTATTTCTGACCTTCCCGATGAGAGGGTTGCCTGGTCCCCTGCCTCTAGAGGGTAGATGACCTGAGCTCAGGAGGCTTATGTCTTTCTCATGTGGTTACCCCAAGTCTTACACTCAAGTCCTAGCCCACTCTGGCCTCTGGAGACGTTTACTCCATGTCAGGTACAGTCATCTACACCTTGAGTATAGAATTATTTAGCCTTCAGATCATCCTGCTGAAATCAAAGATAATGGATGCCCAACTTATAGACAGGGACATGGAGCACTATGGATGCATGGACCACTGGTCCACATCCTCACAGAATCCCTGCATGTTAGATACTGTTATGTCCATTTAGGGATGAGGAAAACTGAGTCTCCAGGGAGGAAAGGTAATTTGCTGACTGTCACTGTGGCCCAGGCTACCATGGAATGTAGCATACTCTGAATCAACTGGAAATCTTTACATTCTTTCAGTGGTCCTCATGCTTCTCCAGGGGCATAGCGGCCACTTAGATGGACACCTAAGCCTAAGAGACACGTGGCCACTCAGTCACAGCAAAGGGTAGAGAAGCCAGCTTTGCCCAAAGAAGCACTTTAATGGCTGCCGGGATGAAGCTGCAGGTACAGCACAGTGAGATCAGAATGAGAAAGGGAGAGGACTCAGGGTATCCTAGCAACGTCTAAAGGGATGATGGGCAGGTGCTGTGGCAATGACAACATCATGGTTCATGTCAGTATCTCTGGTGAGCCCACAGTGATGGTGTACAGGGTACCTCGTTCCAGTCCCAGATTTAACTGTCCCTTAATAGACTGATTCAAGGGCAAAGCACCAATCCCAGTCTGGTCATTTCTAGACCTTCCTGCCACGCTGCCCCAGGAGGAAGCTTTAGAGAGGGCACAAGGACTTCTTGCTGGTGAATCTAACCGGTGTTAATGTCTTTTAAACAATGAAACAGACATCCTAACAGACAAGTCCAATTATTCCCCGGGCGTGAGGGGTACTGTTCAAAGTTCAGATCTGTCCACCATTTCATCTGTTACCCACGAATGCAGTGGCTTGACCTCCCGACACACACAGTGGCAAGCGGGTTGCTCGTTTCTGGTGTACTTTGACATGCCTAAATTATTCTCAGGTGGATTGCCCCCTCGGAGTAAAGAGGAAATTTGCAAGATGTTTTAGTTGTTATGGTAACTACAGGGAAGTTACAAGGTAAACTACAGGTCTCGTAGTATTTAAGGGGCCACCAGCGTTTACAGCTGACATAATTTGTGAGGCCAGTGCACAGGATAGCGAACAATTCCACCTTCTGTCTACGAATGGGTAAAGCCTAGATGGACTGAATGGCTCAGAAATTCGGTTTCTTTGCGTAGCATCAACACCCATGATTCCCCACAATTGAAACAAGTTTGCACACTCAAGGGAAAATTATATATATATATATATTTTATTTTATGTGGAATGCTCAAGAGATATTTTGAAAATGGTGGTCACAGACAGAAACGCCTCTGCTGGAGGCTGGTCTCCGCCTGTTCTCAGCAGTAGCTTTTACTGGTGACTCTATTATCAGATCATCTCATTACTCATCATGTCCCGAAGTATGGTCATGCCTAAGTATTCCTAAATCGAAATACAGGCTTTTATTATAAATCACTTTTCATTTCAATTCCACACTAGCAGTGTGACATTCTACTGATTAAAAAATGGTGTTGGAGCATCATGCTATTATCTGTGAGTTTCAACACTGCCGGTATTTGCGATCGAAAGAATGATCTAGGCTTCACAAGTGGCAACTTAAGTAGCCATGGGCCTTCAGTGACTCTGGTGAGGGTCATTAGTGAGAGGGTAAAAACTGGAGGTTTCTACCCAGCCATGCCACCACCCTCCTTACCACTGCGATTCTAAAGCACAAATACATCTGTTCTTTGATGACGGGGTTATAACCTAAGAAAACCCACAGTAAACTCAAGAGACTACAGGGCCTAACCTACTGAACAGCCTGCTTAGCGGCCCAGTACCCTGGGGAGGGAGTGACCCTTTTTTTTTCTGATTGCATGGCTGACTGGGAGCCCCTGCTCCCGGTGACTGCCCAGCATCTACCGAGAGCACTGAACCACATATTGTTTCCCTGGGGAAAGATCAACATTCACAGTGTGTTTTCTATTGAATGCATATTGTCATCACACAAACACAAAGGAAAAAAATCCCAAGGAGACGCATTCTAAGCCTCAAGTTAGGAGTCTGTGTGGCACTTCACTGTCTTGTGCAGAAGGCTCAGAGAAGGCTTGGCTCATGGGCACCGGGTGGTGTATGGGTCAAGAGGACGGACATCTTGACCATCTTTTCCTAAGAGCGTTATGTAAGATCCACAAGTACTGTGATCTCTGATGATTCTACCGCTGATGGCAGCCCCTGTCCCATATTTTGTTTCTTTTCTTCCCCCCACAGGGAGCTAACAGATGGGCTATGCACAATTTTGGGGAGAGAGCGATTAGCATGTCTCTCTGGCTTCAAGCCATCTGCTCCAGACCACAGTACAATATTCGGAAGAGAAAAAGGCAGAGTTGGGTAATTGGCACCATGTTGGGGGGTTTACAGATCTTATCCAATCTTCCTCATTGAGGGAGGAGGGCTGTGCATCCTGAGTTCTTCCCAAGCCTGGAGCTACAGGTCTCATGCATGCCTGAAGGCATACCTCAGCATCAGGGCTATTGCGTCATTGGTCTCAGCAAGCAGCTTCATGGAGGCCACTGCAGTCACCTAACAATTTGTCAGCTGCAGACTTGTTAATGTGGGCAGCAGTGGAAGGAGGAGGTGCCAACGAGCATCTGTTTGTGTCACCAAGCTTGGGTAATACAAACCTCTTTGCTGCATCCCCACCTTGGAGCTAGGGACTATTTTTTTTAAGTGTTAAAAATTGCATTTTATAACAAGCCGCCAGCTCTGGAGACATCCCTACCCATGACTGAGGAAAGGAAAACAAAACCAGACTGGACTATAAGAAGCATATTGAAAACAAAGGGTCTCTGTATTTGTATAGAACTTATATGATGCCTTCTAGACACACTGCCCCATTTGACTCATTCACTTGTCCAAAAATATCCATGCTGGATGCCTGGCTCTGATTCAATCTCTAGAGATGCAGAGAACAAAGCAGTAGTCCCCCCAATTTTTGGTGGGGGAGCAGGTCCTTGTACTAAGCCCCTTGGGGAGCTATGATTACTATCTGTTTAATCTATATGTATAACATTCTACTTCCATGAGGGCTCAGCCTGCACAAGCCACTTATACGAGCAGCAAAGCATAGGCCCCTGATAAGAAGCACATAGCATCCACAGACTTCTTCGAGCATATCTCTATGCAACATTACAAAGGTCTTCTAGAAGACACCACTTTCAAGGCTCTCAGCACAGCTCTGGGAGGTCAAACCACCATCCCTCATTTTCACCCATAAGTGCCTAGGCTCAGCAGAGATCCGGCTGGGTCATCTGTACCTGGTTGGTGGCAGAGCCTATGTTCTCCAGTCCACCCAGGCTACCTCTGCCATAAAGAGCCAAAAGACTAAAGACCTAAACTTTACTATATGCATTTAAAAAGTTCCAAGAAGATAAAGGAAAAAACAAAGATGGGGTAGGACAGGGCACATGGCATTTGAGTTCTGTAATCAGAGCTATGCTAAAATAATAACAGCCTTTTCCACATGGAGCGCCTACGATACACCAGCATTTTCCAAAGGGCTTAGCTATCTCCTTCAGTTCTCATGATACTGACACAAGGTCTTGCTTTTCAATGCAGGTACGAAGATGAAATTTTGCCTCTGACAGATTATCTGCCCCAACATCTTAAAGCCAGGATTCAAGACCGGCCAGGAGATTCAGGGGTCCTCAGCAGCAGCTATCCTTTTTGGACTGGTTCCCTTCTTGACCTTGTCTCCCTATTCCTGGCTGGACAGATAATCTGTGCACGGTAGACGGAGGCACAACAGCTGGTGACATTGGAACACCAGGTGAAGAGGGAGAGGCTCCCATGGTCATCACCCAAGGACTGCCTCAAGTATATTTCATATAAAGACAGAAAGCAAAAATATACTAACGCAAATCAATTTTAGAATGATGCTATGAAGGCTGTTCTGATTTTTCAATAATGTGAAGGGACAGCACCACAAAAAACAGATAGCTCGAAACAGAGCTGGTTAAGTAGGAGGAGACTACACTCTTGAAGCTGGCCCGGGACAAAGCAGAGCAGTGCTGCGTCTAACAAAGGTCTCCTGGACGTTTGTGATCAAATGTGAGTGCAGGGGGAGACATGGAGTCACACCTAGCACCATCCTGTCCTTGACAGAGAAGAGGATGCAAGCAGGAGGGGTCAAACTTCTTTCTCCTGCCTGGAACACCCTTAACCAAGAAGCCTATTGGCTTCCTTGGCCCTTTACCCTCTTGGTGCTGCCCTTAAGACAGCCTTCTGACCATACTCCATTTGGCCGGAATTCTGGTGTTCAGTCTCTGCTTTTTGCATCTTTTCATCCCCACACCTCTCATATTCTAAAGCATTGCACGACTAATTTACACTACGCTCTAAGCCCCCAGCTAGAGGGAAGCCCTCTATGTTTACTGATGTACCCCAGGCACCTGGGACAGGAGCTGGCACGTAGTGGGCACTCAGTGAATACTGGCAGAGGAAGCACACGTGAAGATCAGTGAGTATGGGGTCTATCATTGTTATTACTGACCTTTATAGACAGAGCGATGGGGACCAAGCGTGGGTATGTGACGGTAAGGTTCAAGCCCAGGCACACTCCCCATAGATATTTTTATTCATATTTTAAATGACGCACTCTAATTTACCATTTTAATGTCCATTTCATACTCAGAAAATAAGTCATCACCACTATCCCATTTCAGAGATAACTAAAACAATTCAACTGGGGAGCTTGGAAATGAACGGTGTCTAGGCTGTCTGTAGATACTAAGTAAGCTATCAGTCAAGAACCAGTCACTACCAACTTTATAGCTTCTAGAAGTTTGTGATGATCTTAGACTCAAGAGGAGGAGCTGTATTCCAGCACAGCCTATGAATTTTTAACTTACATACAATAACAGCAAGGTTTATATTTAGTAGCGAGAATTTGCTTCTAACACTATATAATTAAAATTAATTATTTACATAAAAAAGCACAAGCAGATTTGTAGTCTAAAATATTCAAGCTCTCATTTGCTGTTTATAAAAATAAAGCCAAGAAAGAAATAGTGAGCCTCCAACTCAGTGAAGGTAGGTAGAAGGAGATGCAATATTCCTCTAGGCTCCCAGACAGTTAAAAGAACTAGACTCTTCCGTCAGTGGCCCTTTCCAAGTGGAACGGCCTGGCTACCTGGAGTGGCAGATATTATGGACACAAAGTATAACCCTTTGAATACTACCCATCTGTAACTTACCTGCAAGACTTTGGCCATAGGCATTTTTCCCCTGTTATAAATGCAGTCAACACATGTTAAAGGATACTTGGAAAATAAAAAGATATTTTCTGACTCTCTAAAAACTACATTCTCCTCTCAATTAGCCACTAGCAATTCACTGTTGTCCTACCTGGCTCTCTATGTGGGTGGGGGACTGTTCTTTCCTTGAACCCAGCAAGGACTTAAGAGGTCTGTCTCCTCTCTCCTGGGCACCATCTTCCCTGCCTCTGGCTGTAGTGATTAGGAGGAAACGGACCTGATTTCTATGTCTGTGTGCGTCATGCGTTATTTCTCAAACAACCCTGAGTCTGGAATTTTCCAGGTGACATCAGTACCCACGGCCTTGTGTTCGACCACCTGCCCACCGACACGGCTGCCTCGCATCTCCTGATGACTCACAGGTGAGAATCAGACTCAGGTGTTCTAATAGGATTTGGGGCTGGTTCTGTGAATTGTCCCAGTGAGGCCCACAGGAAGTAGGAGGGAGGAGGGGCGGGCTTACCTGAGGGTACAGCAGCAGTGCCAAAAGACATAGAGCCAAACACATCTGCACTCCCCGGAAGCGTCTGGGATGACGACGGGAGGAAGGCATCACCTGGGGTTGCAGGAGTCTGCCAGACAGAGAGGGGCAAGGGAACAGACGCGTGAGACCTGCTCTGCTAGCATCCACATAGGCAGAGGAGTGGGAGTGACAACCAGACACAGTCCAAGTCATTTATGTGCTTCACAGCTGTGGGCTGGGGACAGAAGCGCTATCTTACCCCCTCCCTCCAGAGCTGCAGTGGGGACTAAATGAAGCCATGTGTCTAAACGATTATTTTTATTAAGTTCTTCTTAAGCACCATGCATGGGCATATAGTTGATGCTCAGCACAGTATGAAAATCCATTAGAGTCACTACCTCTGGGGGTTTTCAGGCCACCAACCTATTCCATCATATATGGCTTTTGCCACTTGCAAGTGGTCAATTCAATCTGAAATATACACGCTTGAACCCTACTGTATTCTCTGTTTGATTAGGTGGTCAGTAAACAGTTGGCTAAATAAACAAAGAAAGCTTGGCGAGTGGATGGAGTGAAGGCCTAAGTGTTCTGGAGCTGTGCAGACTCTTGCTTGAACCTCCCCCTTGCAAAAGAGAAGGAAATATTTCTGAGATGACAACCTAAGAACCTTGGTGTATCTGGGAACTTCTAGAACCAATCTGGCCCAAGCTGCAGCTCTAGGAAGATCAGATGCATGCTGAGTAAGGTGAGAGTTATCAATAGGAATATCAGCACCTCTTAACTGTATAGGCTTTTGCCTATGAAGTGTAAGCCGGCTGGATGCCATGACATCCTTGTTGGTCCCCACCCCCTCCGCTGGAACAGACTGGGGCAAGCAATTAATCCTGAAACCACGGCAATTAGACAGGGCCATTTTTAGACCGTCAGCTTCCGGGACGAATGGCATTGTTCGGAGGATTACTAAACACCCATTCGGATGGTGCTTGGGTTCAGGGCCAGAAATGCAGCCCTGAGCTGCTGTGTTAAGCATTTTTGCACATAGTCAGAGCTGTTCTCTTTCCCCCACATGGCCTCGAAGACGTCACATGTCCTTCCTGGGTCTGAGTTTGCTCATTTGTGCAAATGCAGGGGTGAAGAAAGGAGAGTACTTTATTGCCAATTTCCTACCCCAGCTGTTACCTGAGGTTGCCGTAGGAGAGAAAAGCTCAGGAGAGTGGCCTGGCTTCTCTGGAAACAAGACAGGGTGTCGGGCAGCTGTGCCTGGATTCCCCAGTGGCAACTGTGGGCTGCGGGGTCTCAGGCTCTCTGTCCTTGGTGGTGAGATCATGGCCCTTTCTCTGGGAGGAGCACCTCGCCAAGGAACCATAGCACTGCGCCTCTGTTTGCACAACTGTGTGGTGCCCAGAGGGGCAGTCCATCCCCAGCAGCCTTAACTGGTACAGCTGCAGCTGACTGCTCTCTCCACATCTCTGGGGAGCAGGCAGTTTGGGGGTGGGGTGGGAGCTGATGGGGACGTTGTGGTCTTCCAGTGGCTACTGCAGAGGCAGGATTGCCAATGAGAGTATCCAGTACTGAGGTTCTATGAGGTTGCTTTGTTTTAATCCAATTCCCTCTCTCTCTTCCTCTCCCTTTCTCTCTCTGCTCCATGCATTCTTGATCCTCTTGCAAACAGTGCCCAGATACCGTAACTGGGCTGTGGCTGTGAACCCAGAGCGTCCTGAGTAGCTTGGGGAGGCACGTGGTTTACAGGGCTCAAAGGCAAGCCAGTAAGAAGCCACCACATTGTGAAGCAGGAAGGGAGGAGGGAAAGGGAAAGACGAGGCAGATGAGGCTTCCTTTCCTTAGCTGTCCAAGGTGCTATGGGGGGTTAGGTAGATGCTGACACATGCCCTCTCATGCTTCCTGCCCTGTTGAGTTTCTTGTCCATATTCCCAACTCAGCTACCTGCTTGTGGAAAGCACAAACCATCTATCTTTCCCATCCTCCCTTCTTAGAGCCTGAAGGGCAAGCCACAACGTCCTGTGGTTGCTGAGTGCATGGTGTCATTTAGTCCTCAGACCAGAGCCATTCATCCGAATTCTTTCTCCTTCACTCTAAGGGAGACTGAGGCTCAGGAGCATTAGCTGAAATTTACCAGCCAGGCTCTCTCGCCAAAGCCCAGACTGTGCCACTGTGTGGTTGGGGAAAAGGGGCCAGGCAGTGGGACTCGGAGGGCAGGGCATACTTACAGGGGGAGAGGTTATATCAGGAGGGGTGGACATGTCTCCAAAAAGTTCTAATTGGGTCACAGCCTGAAAAGACAAGAGAGAATTGTGTAAGCTGCTGGGCTTGCTTTAAAACGTTATAGTGTAAGAAGAGCCACTCTTTCCTGTGACCACCATGTGAATGGTGAGGCCTGTCGTTTACTACTACACCTCCTGGTCCCAGGGCAACATGTCTGGATAGAACCAGAATCAGTCTACTCCTCTGTCTAGTTGTCTATCTGGGTGGCACTCATTAGTTACAAGCAGCCTTAACAGCACTTCTTCATCCTGACCTACCATCAAATGCAGCCGAAAACTATGGGCAGAAACGCAGCCCTATGACAGGTTCCTCTCGAGAGTGGAAACCACCCATCCAAAAACCCCCACCTGAAGAATGACAAGGGATGTCTACGAGGTCCTTCCTCAGTTCATGCTTCCCGCAGCCCTAGTCCTGAGAGGTAGGGACCTTTATTCACATTTTCTGTAAAGAAACTGATCTGCATAGAGGTTACAGAGGTTACACCAAGGTCATCTGGTCGGGATGGCAGGATTTTGTATTTTCTATATAGAGAACACGCAGTCAAACGTGCATTCCTCCCCAAGTCTGTCTTGGGGATAAAAATGTGGTTGGATGAAAAGAAAACATTTCATTTAATACCAGGAAGGGCATCAACACCAGCCCAGTACACACACTATCAATCACTCCCAGGAACTCCATCCCTGCAGACACGGGACCATCCATCTTCCCATCCATCATACAGGGTGTGGGGGAAGAGTCTGGCCGGAGAGCAGAAGAACCCTTTTAAGATACACTTAGAAATTAATCTGCATACACTTTAGCTTCAGGGACCATAGGGATTCTTTGGCCAGGAACCAAATGCCCCGACTTAATTATGCAAAGCATATAATCACACACTTTGTGCGAACCTGTCCACTGAGCAAACACAGTTTTCCACTCATCTTCAGATCTTAAGCGAGGCCTCGTGATGCCGGCCAGCACAACACCCAGCTAACAGAAGGTCCAGGAAGAGGTGGACTGCCCTGCTACTCTGCTCCCCACAGGCATTCGGTTCTAGCTTGGACATACTTGGATGGATAGGATTTATACCAAACACAGAATGATCATTCCTTCTGATGAATGAGCCAGCTCCGAATTCGGGAGAAGGTCCCACAGTTGGGTGGGTCTGTTGAGTCCTATCCTTTTCAGTCACCTTCCAAGCTCGACTTCCTCAGCTGGATGATGGAGCTGATAATACCTTCTTACATGTTATAGATTAATCATCCCTAACCTGAAACCACGAAGCCTCCAATAGTCCAAGCCCTGCGCATTTTGAGTGTTGATATGATGCAGTAAGTGGACGACTCCATACCTGACTCCTTGCAAGGGTCATGGTAAAAAATTCTGGGACACTGAATATACGTTATTAAGTTATATGCAAGGTATGAGCAGAGGTATGTATGAGGCAGAAAGGAATTTTGTGTTTAGACTCTGGTTCAGTCCCCAAGGCGTGCCATTCTGAATATGTCAAAACAAAGTGTTTTGCTTCTAACCAAGGACACAACACTCTCCCCACAAACCTTCAAGAAGAGTAGGATGCTGGACACTGTACTAGATGTTAGGGGCATAGAAAGGAGAACTGCCAGGTCCCAGCTGCAGGTAGTGATGGTCTGTTGGGGATGGCAGTCCACAGATGGCTGATCCCTTCAAGGTAACATGACAGAAAGGGTAACCATAGTCTCTGTGGGGCAGCTGGAACCCAGTCTACTGGGGGCAGAGAATTTAGTCAGCGTTTTCCAAAGGAAACAGCTTGTCTCCATATCCTGGTGACAAAGGCGAGGAAGAGCCCTCCCTGAAGTGATGTGAAACTCCACGAGCCAGAAAGAACACTGTAGGAGGGGGAAGGCTGTTGGGTGCTACCGGCATGAACCTCTCCTGGGAGAAGAGGTGGGTGCGGGGACTGAGCAAGGCTGGCGAGGGGCACTTGTGGACATTCCAAAGTCTTCCCCACTGACTCTCTCCCAAGAGCTTTCCTCTCACACAGGGACAGCCCAGCAGCTGATGGCCTCTGGCGTGTAGGGTGTGCTCCTAAACCTGGACTCTCTGATTCTCTTCTGCAAGCCTTCTTTGGCATACCAGCAGCATCACACTTGATACAGTGAAGGCTACCTTTGGTCCCTTCCGCTTCTGAATAAAACACTAACTACTTAATGAATTCAGCCGAAGCTTCTGGGCTTCCTGGAGTTTGGCTCTCCGTGCTTATAAAATGGCTCAGGACTATTTCTAGCTCTGGGAAAATATTAAAATGAAGTTAATAATTAAGTCACACAATTTACATCTCAAATGTGTTGAACTCATGGCATACTTTTACTAACATCGTAAAGATAACTTATTGGCTAATTTTCTCCTTAAGCACAACTTTTAAAATAACCTTCTTTCTTGAGATATAGCCCTTCCTCTTGCCAAATGATTTTCACTCAAGGATTAAACGAGAAAAACATGGGGAAGCATAAAGCATAGGCTGTTATTTCGTTTCATTGGATTTGCTGTTTAAATAGAACCCCGAGTTAATTAAATTTTATAGAAAAAGGGGGTTCTTGGGCCATAAAATTAAAAATAATCTGAATAAGCACGTATGATTGAGAATCAGGAACAGTATCTATTTTCACAGCCCTCCCCCACGTGAACCCCAGCCGCTTATTTGTAACCTAATAAACCATGTTCCATCTGAAAATACTGTCCTCATCCATCATGTTAAAGGCCTCAAGAGAATAAAGCTAAGAGTTCACATTTGTAAAACACTTTACAGCTCACAATAAGCTCGCCCATACGTTATCATTATGCCTGACACTCCCTGAGCCCGGGAAAGTCAGCTCCATCCGCCACAGTCTGTACTTTACAGAGTGGTTCACTGAGGCTGAGGTGAGTGACCCGCCTGGGATCAGCCAGGGAAAAGGAGCTTGGGGTGTGTTGCCCTGCGGAGCAACCAGACCCCTTTTCATTCTGTCTGTTGATTTTACCAAGCCCTGATCAGCCTTGCTTAACGGTGGTAGTTAGCTCTGCGATATCTTCCCACCAGAAGTCACTGTTCCCAAGAGACCTGTGGGATGCACACCCATGGGAGGTTGTCTGCGGCTTCAGCTCCAGATGTCGGCTTATGATAGAGGAGAGACCCATCCACCACACAAGCCTTTCAAAGGCCTTCTGCAGAGATGTAGTAGCTGCGTGTAGCCGATGTGTTTCTTTTAGAAGATACTGGGTATTTTCCAACAGTAGATGGAGTGATGCCCAGCCTGCCATGGTCAGTGATGGAGGCAAGGAGTTGACAGGTTTGGGTCAAGCCCCTCAGTATCTCCATCAGGCCTGGCCCTGGCCCCGCCACTTTTATATAGACAAATGGTAGTTTCCCAGGTATATAGGACACTAAAACTGCTGGTTCAAAATTAGTCCCCTGGCCTTTCTTTTCAACATGACTGCAGCAAGTAGCCCTAGAAACTTCCTGAAGGGAAGTTTGGTGACACAATTGAAGAAGGATGAAATGCCACAGACTGACCCCCACAACACATTCTCTCACAGGCTCAATCCCTATGTTTTGGCAGCAGTAGATCTTGGGATCCTTCAGGAAGTGTATAGGGATTCTTATCATTCATTAGTGGCTGAGCCAAGAGCGGGGACACAGGCCCAAGGACAGCATGCTCCTGCCTCCATTTTCAAGATGCTTTATGGAACAGACAGAGACAGTCCACGCAGCATTAAGGAGTGCAGGGTACAGGGGATCGGAAAGGAAATTATCTTTGGGCCTCTGTGTGAGCTCCTCCCAAGCTCACCTTTCTTTTCTTCACTGCCTCCTCACCTTTGTCAGGACACAAATAAAGATTTTCCTGTGTGCCCCCTCCCCCTGGAATGTGTTATGAGGTCTCTAAAATACTGGCTGAGTGAAACTATGGGGTGCTATCTCCTTTCCAGTTCTCCTTATGTTACACACACACACACACACACACACACACACCCCGTTTGTACATATTGGACCCCACGGCATCTTTAGTTTTCCTGTGAGCACTGTAATGGGCACCTCCCCGGGCAGCGCAGAGCAGAGCAATCGCCATTTACGCAGGTGGATGAGGACACGATGGCACACATGAGGATAACGAGAAGAACTCTAATTTAACAGGACCCTGGAGGTCTTACCTTGGTTGCCTCAAGAAGCTCATCAAAGTCCTCTGACAGACTTCTGTTCTGCAACCACAAGGCATGATTGATGAGTAGGGAATGAGTGATGGTCCAGCAACATGAAACAGTTAAACAGACAGGGCCCTCTCAGTCTTACCGGCGTGGCTGCAGCAAAACGCTCTTCAAAATCCTCCAGCGGCTGGCTATTCTGCAAGTGCAAGGGATGATGAATGAGGATGGAGTGAATGACACACAAATGACATGGATTTATGGGTTTAATGATGACGGTAGCTGTGGTTTACACTCTCGTGGTCGCAGGAGGCGGGAGCTGATGCTGATGTATGGCGAAAACCCCGGGATGTGTTTCCAGCATAACCAGATGATAAAGCACAGGCCTGATGGGGAGATACAGCGACAGCATGTCTGCGTGTCTCAAGTCCATCTTCCTGCAGTTGTGCACGCCACTCAGCGAGGTGCAGCAGTGTCGCTGGGTAAGAGCAAGGTGTCTACGGTGCACAGCCATCACTGACAGGGGAGATGTGCCCTCGTGTGATGTCAAACTCAACTTTTGTTATTGACAACTGTTTTAGTTATCAATAGTAAAACAATGGGTTCCATTATGACATTTTCATATCTGTATGCATACACACACATCTAACTACACACACACACACACACACCCTCAACCATTTGTGCCCATCTCTTGTGCCAGCTGTTCTCTTTGCTCAGCAAGCTTCCCCAGTAAGCTCAGTGCTCCCTACTTTCCAAAGCCCAGCTGAGTGCCACTTCTGCCATGCAACTTCTTCCTCTTGGAGTCCTGAGCACCTCAGTTCCACCTGCCCTATTGAGAGCTCTCTTGTGTGTGCAATTCATTCCCAAATGCCCCGCAGCTCCCAAGGGTCTAATACATAGCACTGCCCAACAGAAATGAATGAATCCGTGGCTTAACAAGTGGCTGGCAGTTGGCCAAAACTAACTAGTCTCTTAACTTTCAATTCTATTGACTGTAATCTGTATTATACAAAATGTATAATATCTACTACACATGCATATTTTAATAACCTTGTTTTAGTCTATATGTACAAGCTAATTATTCTTTGGATTATTTCCAAGAGGCTCAATGTTAATAGGATCTGTGTCTACTAGCGTTCCAACCGAGGCACTGCGCATGGACAGAGAGATGGCTTTGCTTCCTAATTTTGAGTAGGGTTCAGTGTTGGCAATGGAGGAATGGGGGGGGGGACTGTTGTCCACTCTTAAAACACTGTTCATTTGCCAACGTCACCCTCGCTCTGTCCACAGAAATCCTGAATGCCACTTTCCTCATTTCCACCCACAGTGTGTAGAGCGGGCCAGGAGAATCAACACACCCAGGACCCCTGCCACTCAGAACAACCATCTAATCCTGCTACCTGTCTCCACCAGGGTCTGTCTCACCATGACTCACCTGTGGTGACGACGAGATGGAAAGTCACAATGTACAATAGCTACAGAAATACCACTTCCGCTACTGTTGGTGCCGATCATTATTAGGATTGTAATTTAGCCACAGGTGTGTGGGGCTGCAGCAATAGTCTAGGATTCCGTGTAATCTGTGGTGTGGCCTAGAAGGTTGAGGTGATGTCGCTACATCCCTTATAAATTCACACACTCCTGGGGATTTATGGCAGGGCCCCTACCCACTAGCTCTGGGTCATAACTTTTAATAAAAACATTTTTTAGTGTCCAAAATCTCATTACATCTGTCCAATATAAAAAAGCAAATGGCTTCAGAACATGATGGATGAATTAAATAAATTTGAAAAACAGCCCGTGGTGGAGTCTCATAAAAGCCTCACCATGTCCCACATAATGAAACCGTGGGAGGACTTCCAGCATAGGCGTGTGGCTGTCACCTTCCCGGTGACAGAAGAGGTGGCCTCTGGGGAGGTCCAGAGGTGAGGCGTGATGGGGGATTTCTGTACATTCACAAGAAGTTCAGTCTAGGAATCTAAGTGAATACGTCTAGGAATCGAGATACATACATCCAGGAGCTGGTCATGCCACCTCTTGGCCACATGACTCTTTTTCTAAATTTTCAGGTAGTGATACGGAGCCATTCTCTAAGTCTTGGATGGATGTGTAGCCTTGTTTGGTATCACACACAATGTAGACGTTCAATAACTCAGTCATTATTTAGTATCATCTTCTCCTATCTCTTGGTTCATTTCAACAATGTATCTACATGGGTTTTATAGTGTGCCGACACTATTGTTGCAAGGTGTCTGGGACTGGAATGAGTAACCTTTAGTCTGTTCATGGCTTGTATCCTCCTTCTGGCCTTGTTCATAGACCACGTCACCAGACCATCTTCATCCAGGTGTTATCTCTGACCCCTGTGGTCCTCTGCCGTCTGACTCCGGCTTGGCCAATGCTCCAGACTCCTCCTGTGTACTCTATCTGGCTAGTGGAGAGGTATTTCTATGCAATGCTCCCTTTCCCAGCTAAGACTCATGTCGAGGACTCGGACTCTGGCCCCTTGCTTCCCACACACCCAGCACTTGCTTTTATTCACACCTACTATTGAGTTACAGCTTGGCTTAGCAATTATCTTCAATTCTTGACTTTCCTTCAGGTATTTTTTTCCCTATCTACTTTGCATTTCGCTCTTAAAAGCTCAACAGTGACAAGTATACCAGAACCTGATCATCCTGAGAGGAGATTTAAGGGACTATATTCTCCCACTCTTCCAGCATAGTTGTACCCCGATCTCCTGAAAGACACTGAAATAAGATGTCTTTGGGGAGCTTCCTTTCCCATAGTAGGGGTATGACGGCTCCACAACTGAGGGATGGGGGGGGGATCAGATTGATGGTACTCTTGCAGTAAAAATGACTGTGGCTGAGATAGGTTGTGGGCACAAACATCAAAAACGATGAAATCATATTTATAGCTGACAAGTCAGGAACTTGACATGGTTTATAATATAATCTTGGGCCGCATAACACAATCCTGTAGGGAGGCGTTTACAAAACTCTAAGACCTGAGCCCCAGCCTCTGATCTCCAATTCTGCTGGAGGAGAGGGTATAGGGGGTCTGTTTTTTGTTTACCAGGCTTCCACGGGTCCTCAGTGACTCTGACGTGCTGCTGGCTTTTCAAATTGCTGTACTGGGGAATGAATTCTCTTCAGGAATAATCAGGGAGCATCCTACTGGGAGAACCAAAGGCATCTTGATTGATTAGGTAATGGATTAATTAATGCGTTCAGCAAACATTGCCAGCGTATTTCCCACCTGCCAGGACCTAGGCAGGTGCCGGAGACACAATGATGACTAACTAATACATGGTCTGTGCTCTCAGCAGGGCCAACATGTGTGGTCCTCGCTGTCTGCAGTGGTCAGGAGTATGTATACGGGAGGGCACAAGGCTTTTAGGTCTAAACTAGGACCTAGGCCACGGCTGCAAAGGAATCAATTCGATTATCCATTTAGAGGGCCCAGGAGAAATGGATTAACTTAAGTGATTTGTAACTGTGCACAGGTAGGTAGTATTAAGGCCACCTAGTGATTGCAGGTACCCGCACGCATGCTACTTTCCCGGGTGCGTGATTTAACAAGCAAGGCACATACTAATTAAGACCGATTCTCACTGGGGCACTAGCAGCGTGGGGCCCACACCACCTTTAGCAGAGAGGAGATGGCCACTTTCTACTTCTTAGGAGACAGTCAGGAAAAGCTCTGCTCAGCAACCAAGGAAACAGTGCTGAGGGTGCCTGCAGGATAGGTGTGCAGGGCTGAGGCTGCCAGCCGGATGGGTGTGCAGGGCTGAGGCTGCCAGCTGGATGAGTGTGCAGGGCTGAGGGTGCCTTTAGGATGGGTGTGCATGGAGCAAACAGTGTAGATACTGGGTGTTCAACTCTAACACATCCACTGCCATCTTGTAGGCACCCTCAGCCCTGCCCTGCACACACACTAAACTCTTGGGAGCTGAAAAACATTGACACCATCGCACCTGCCAAGCAAAAACTCCTGTTCCTTCCCCCTTCCTTCTTCCTGCCCTCCTTCTATCCCTCTTTTCTAACTGCTTTCCTTTCCCCTATATCTCTCCCTGCCTCCCTTTCTTCCCTCACTCCATCCCCTTGTCTTCATCCCCCCTTTTCCCCTTCTCCTCCTCCCCGTTCCTTTCCTCTTTCTCCATTTCTCCTTTCCTCTCCCCTCCCCTTCCCTTCCCCCTCTCCTTCCCTCCTCTTACATTCTTCCCACTCCCCCTTTCCCTATTTGTTCTTCCCCTGTCCTCCCCTATTTTCTGTTTTCTTCCCCCTATAATCTACCTTCTCTCATCTTCCCAGACTCTTAGAAAGGGAACTGGCACACTGGTTGTGCTTTGTGCTGTTTGCACAGCAGTATCTACACTGTTTGCTCCATGCACACCCATCCTAAAGCCTGCAGTTATTTCTTCCTAACTCTTTCTTCCTTTCTTCTCCTTTTAAAAAATCTATTATCCTGCGTCCACATTAGCCAAAACTCAAGGAGTTTTCAAAACCTCCTAACAAGATTTGGCATGGCGTCATGACTTGCAAAGGGAGCAAACGGGAGCCACAGGAATGTGAAATTGGCTCCTGTCAGCGGGCTGACAGGCTCTCAGCCCACTTTTCCGGCAGAGGGCGGGATACACAGCAGAGTCCGTCCCTTCCCTTGATGCTATGTCTTCTTGGGGAGACCACTGCTGAGGTCCAGATGGTCCCCAAATGGTAACAAGAAATATTGGATGAAGTTGAGACCAAACCGAGTGGCAGAGGCGGGATGCGAGCAAATCAGAGGCAATCACAAACAGAGCGAAGTCACTGCAGAGGGAAAAAAATAGCCAGCAGCCCCTGCCTGCTGCTCTGACAGCCGCTCCTTGCCACATGGTTTCCCCTCCTTCTCCACGGGACAGCAGCTTACAAACATGGGAATTCATTTCACTATTTGGTCTTCCTGCTTGGATTTGCTTCACAGGGTATGGATCGGATAGCCTGCAAACTCCCCTGAGCGTCTACCACGAGTCAGGCACCAAGAGGACCCCGAGCTGCCCTTCGGAGCTGCAGCAAGTGAGGTGAGGGGAAACTAACTCAAGTCATGGTACAGGGAGTGTCGCGACAGGGAACCATATTGAGCACTTTCACAGAGAATGTGCCGTTTCCAGTCACAATGCCACTCATGGAACAGAAGCCAACACCAGCTCCTGGGAACAGCCAAAGAAAGCTTTCTGTCATTGCTGGAACAGAATCTTTCAAGCTCACTCATTCCTTGAATTCTATGTGGTAACGTTACAAAGATGCTCATGGCATGCGGTCATGTTGAACGTGATCTTCCTGTCTTAGCTAGGGTTATTGCTGCTGTGATGAAACACCACAACCAAAAGCAAGTTGGGGAGGAAAGGGCTTATTTGGCTTATACTTAATCATCACTGTCCACTATCGAAGGAAGTCAGGATAGGAACTCAACAATGGCAGGGACTTGGTGGCAGGAGCTGATGCAGAGGCCACAGAGGGGTTACTTACTGGCAAAAGTAACCACAGAGGCTGCTTACCGGCTTGCTCATGGCTTTCTCCACCTGCCTCCTTACAGAACCCAGAACCACCAGCCTAAGGACAGCACTGTACCCAATGGGCTGGGTCCTCTGCCATCACTCACTGATTAAGAAAATGTCCTACAGCTAGATCTTATTTCTTAGTCGAAGCTCCCACTGCTCACATAAGTTTAGCTTGTGTCAAGTTGACATAATTTATCAGGCACACTGCCCAAACTTGTGCTTTGCTCGTCTTTGACACAGGCACCAACACATTGTGTAGAAGCGGAGACTCCAGGTGTTCAAGTTTGGTGTGTGAGCTGGTTCCTGCAGTTACAGTTTCAAGAGTTTGAGAAAGTCAGCTTAGAAAAGGTAGAGCTGGGCGTAGTGGAAACTGCCCGTGACCCTAGCTAGCTTTCAGGGCGACCACATGCTTAGGGTTAGCCTGAGCTTATCAGCTGAGACATTGTCTCAGGAAAGCTATCTAAGCCAACAGGAGGTTTATGTTGACTCACAAGCGTGGAGGTTCCATTTATGGTTTCTTGACCCCTTGCCTTCTGCCAATGGCCGATTGTAGAAGAATGTGTGTGACAGAGATAAACCACACCCTTCCTGCTAGCAAGCCAAAGGCAACTGTGGAGTAGAGTGTACAGCTTCTCAGTTCCCTTTGAGGGCACACTTCCGGGGCTCTACAGACCTCCTGGTAGGCACCATCACTTCCCAATAGCACTGCTCTAGCAAACAAGCCTTTAATGCCCTTGGTGGACACTGAACGCGGCTGCTGTAACAGTACCCTTGACTTCCACCCCACCCCTGCTGGGACCTCCAGGCATTCACAGGGAAACACTGATTCTCTGACTAGACCATATTCTGGTCTACCTGCCTCTGTCTGTGTATAGCCTTCCCTCATGGCCAAGTTGCTGTTTCCACTCTTATGTTCTTACCTTCATCACACACAGTGATCAAGTGACCTTGGACTACATCTGGTGGGTTTTTCATCACACTTGTTATGATATCCAGCTCCTCCCCCCCAGGGACTGTGCACACACAGCAGGATGTCACAATATCCCCCCCCCCTCTCTCTCGGGTTCTCATGACAAGGTTTCTCTGTAACCTTGGAACCTCTCCTGAAATTAGCTCTTGCAGACCAGGCTGGCCCAGAGCTCACAGAGACCTGCCTGCTTCTGCCTCCTGAGTGCTGGGATTAAAGGCGTTCACCACCACCGCCAGGCTGGATGTCACAATTTCTGAATCCCTCCACCACATTCTCTTTCTTGCCAAGCTACAGACTACAGCCCTGTCTTTCTACTCTTCTCCACCCGACAGGCCTTTGTCTTATCCATCCTTATCCTGCCAGTCTTTCTCTAGCAGGTCTCTTGTCCAAATCCAGACCTTGGCATAGCCATCTCCTTTGGGAGAAACTTCTCTGTGCTACTATGTTTGGATTATTGGGATCACTCCCTGATGCCTGTCTGTTTACCTAACTGTTAGTGGTCTTAGCATGGAAGGAGACCTGGGTCCAAAAAGGAACATGGGCTGATTTTTAAGTCTCCCGTCTTTACTACAGTACCTGACACCCAGGGAACACTCAGCAGTCTATGTGGAACAGATGGAGGATGAACGCTTGAGAGAGTGATAGATAAACTTCCCAAGAATGGTTTCAGGACGTGAGTCCCAGCACTGCAGACCCAGTACTGTTATAACAAACACACACTGTGCACATGCCCACAGGCACGAGGCAGTCCACTTTTGTCATTCTGAAGCCTGGGCTTCTGTTTTTATTTCGCTTCCTGCTTGTTCTCTGACCCTGGGTTCCTCTGGAGGACTGTGTAGCTGGTGAATAAAGACGGGATCACTGATCTTACACACACATGCTTCCTCCCATGTTATAGTGTGTGCCCTCTGAGATGCTTTAAATAAAAGCAGTCTATGTATCTTGGGTAGGGCTCCAGTTTGTTGGCACTGCTATTTCTGGTTTACACATACACACACACACACACACACACACACACACACACACACACACACACTCTCTCTCTCTCTCTCTCCTCTCAATGGCAATTCCACCTGATACTTAGGTTTCCTCTATGTGCAGCCAGCACTATTCTAAGGACTTTCATGTGGTAACTAATTTAATGATCACCACTGATGTGGGCACTATTCCCGCCCTCATTTCCAGAGGCAGAAACGGAAGCATACAAAGCCTAATAACTTGCCCCATGTCACACAGCCAGAAGGTGGCAGAATACATATTTTTACCAACGTGGGCTAGCTTTGGAATGTGCAGACTTAAGGATCAGACTATAGTGTAGATGGCAAAGGTAAAAGATGACCTATGTCATAAGACCAAGGTGAGTGCAAGGTTCTAGGAGGAAGAGGCAGGAGGGCAGTTTAGGATCCCGCCCCAGGACAGGACAGCCCGGTCCTCTGTGGCAAGTGTGGCCAGCTGACACATGAGTCAGCCCCCAGAGGTGCTTAAGGCAGAGGGCCAGGACACCTGGCTGAAGGTACAGAGAACAACATGACAACAGCCAAGGGGACAGGGCAAAGAGACTGTACAGTACAGGAGGAGGGAGAAATCCCGAACCGTGGGGCTGACAGCATGCAGAACGGGAAAGAGGAATACTGTGAACGAGAAGGCTGGAAACGCTGCTAACTCGCATGGGTGAAAACGAGGAAAAACCGACAGAGGTTTAAGCAGAACTGAAGGAAGCATCATAAAACGTGAGCAAGAATGTCCCCATCACAGGAGTCGTTCCAGAGACCGGCTTTGTTTCCTTCTTCTGTTAGCATCTTGCGTTCAATCTTTTTATGCACACCAAGCACAAAACAACAGTTGCCATGTTAAGAAGGTTGCATAAACTCATGGAAGTCTTTGGAAGTCTCATAGAAACACACACGCTCTATCATATCTACAGGGCTAGGGCAGAAAGTGCTAGTTTTACAAGTCACACAGGATAGACCTGCTATGCAGTCTTTGGAATCACAAGCGGAGCCATGAAGTCCTGAGCAAAGCCCTGACCCTGGCATGGAGTTAGCAAATGCTGGCTCCTTGTGTCTTCTCTGAGCTGCTACCGAAAATGAGCTTCGTGCTTCCTTCAGTGGGGACTGTCACTGATATATACACTCTCATGCCTCGTGATCCTTCATTTAGCTCTTGTCCTTTTTTTTTTCCCCATTTGACTAGAGTTTGTTCATTACTCTTCTGTAACCGCTAATAACGGCAGTTAGGGAGAAAGAAAGAAGCCCAACAGGATGATTTATCCGGAGCAGCCGAATTAGTGTATGGAGAGCGAAGGCGCGT